TGTATTTTGTACTAGACGAGCTGACTTACCTTACTAGACGAGCTGATGTACTAGATGAGCTGATGAAGAAAACTAGATGACTGCTGATGTACTAGACGAGCTGATTGTCCTCAGTGGTTGACGAGCTGATGTCCTAACGAGCTGATTTACTAGACGAGCTGAGTTGTATGATTAGACGAGCTTGATGTACTAGATGAGCTGATGTACTAGATGAGCTGATGTCCTAGATGAGCTGATGTACTAGACGGTTTGATGTACTAGACCAGAAGCTGATGGTTACTAGATGAGCTGATGTACTAGACGGAGCTGATGTACTAGACGACGAGCTGATGTACTAGATGAGCAGGGTTAAGTACTAGATGAGCTGATGTCCTAGATGAGCTGAATGTACTAACGAGCTGATCTGTACTAGATGAGCTGATGTACTAGACTAGCTGATTGTACTAGACGAGTGATGTACTAGATCAAAAGCTGATGAACCAATAGATGAGCTGATTTACTAGATGAGCTGATGCCCACTTGAACTAACGAGCTGATGTACTAGATGGACTCTGATTTACTAGACAAACATCGAGCTGATGGTACTAAATGAGCTGACTTTGTAAACTAGACGTGTGGCTGATGTACTAGATGAAAAATGCCCGCACTGATGTCCTAGATGAGCTGATTGTCCTAGACGAGCTGATAAGTCCTAGATGGAGCTTGATGTGAACTATATGAGCTGATGTACTAGATGAGCTGATTACTAGACGAGCTGATGTCCAACTAGACGAGCTGATGTACTAGACGAGCTGATCCGTTACTAGAATGAGCTGATGTACTAGATGAGATGATGTAATGCTAGATGAGTTCTGATCACTCAAACCTAGATGAGCTGATGTCCTAGATGAGCTGATGTACTAGACGAGCTGATGTCCTAGATGAGCTGATGTACTAGATGAGCTGATGTACTAGACGAGCTGATGTACTAGATGAGCTGATGTACTAGACGAGCTGATGTACTAGATGAGCTGATGTACTAGATGAGCTGATGTACTAGACGAGCTGATGTACTAGACGAGCTGATGTACTAGACGAGCTGATGTACTAGACGAGCTGATGTACTAGACAAGCTGATGTACTAGACGAGCTGATGTACTAGACGAGCTGATGTACTAGACGAGGTGATGTACTAGATGAGCTGATGTACTAGACGAGCTGATGTACTAGACGAGCTGATGTACTAGACACTATGGCCTATTAACTGATGGCTTTCGCAGATGGTCCTTACGTGTGGATGTCCTAGACGAGAAGTAAGACAGTCGAACTAACAAAAACCATAAAAGCTAAATGAAAGCTCGGCAACACAAATAATATCCAAGACAAGAATTCACAAAATGCCTTCAACGGCTACTTCATTCTGCAATAATTCACAAATGCTGTGCTGAAATGCTACAGGAAATCACACTATCAATACCCCCCTGATTTTGTTATATGAATATGACATTTATAATACTTAAGACTGCAAACCCTAACAGCTTCCGTAGTTGCCCATTTGTCTGACAATCGAAGTAAATATATAAATATTCTTCTTCTGCTTTCACCACTAAAAGGCGGTTGTAGGTCCTTGAAACCCACACAGATATATGAATATATTTATAATGCTTGGAATGCAAACCCCAACAGCTTTCACTGTTGCCTGTTTGCTTGACAACTCCATTATGAAATTAAGTATAGTAATATTGCACAAAAATGGATCTGACTGTAGCCAGGTAGTATGTCAAAGTCGAGATCAAAGATGCTCACCAAGCGGAATAGTTCTGGCAGCAGTGTTCGATATGATCACTGGCTGTGGGATAGGAAAACTAACAGTCTATGGCAAAAGAAAAAATCCAGGGATCCTTTTCCCCCAGACTAGAATGAGATTACTGAAACAACAGCATCAATCTTTGGGCAAACAAAAAACTGATTCAAAGCTGGCTACAATTCAATCAATGGGTGTGAGTACACGCATGTGTGTGAGAAAATCTCAGAACAACATATAGTACTAAATTTAACAATAACTAGAAACAAAGAAAATTAATTAATTTTGCTTGTTTATGTTTTTCTCTCTCTCTTTAAAAAAAAATGCTTTCTTACTTATGTCGTTTTGTAATACAGTCCATCATACCCACAATTCCCTCTTCTCTCACCCGCCTCACTTATTTCTTAACTTCATGTTTACTTGTGTTGTTTAGAATCTCTGTTGTCTTGTTCCTTTGAGTTTTCCAGCCACAGTGTGTGTTGTATCATTACTCCACTGATAAAGACTTTGGTCAAAACATTTAGTTATATTTGTATGCGTCTTTTCCATTCGCTCTCCTTGAGCTTTCTGGTCACATTTTATGTTATTTTTAGCACCTCTTGTCATCAACTTGACCAGAGTCATGCTCCGTCTATGTCAACACAACAACACTGAAGAGTGATACATAAAGTCACAAGGCCTAGTTATATGAGAGAGATATCATTTAAAGTACCATAACAATTTCAGCAAGGCAGATATAGCACTCATAGTACAAGAGAATTCGTCCATCACAGTCCCAGCAAGGCTGTTTTATAATATATAGAGCACTCATAGTACAAGAGAAGTCATACAGTCGGCAAGGCTGTTATATGGCAGATATAGCACTCATAGTACAAGAGAAGTCATACAGTCGGCAAGGCTGTTATATGGCAGATATAGCACTCATAGTACAAGAGAAGTCATACAGTCGGCAAGGTTGTTATATGGCAGATATAGCACTCATAGTACAAGAGAAGTCATACAGTCGGCAAGGTTGTTATATGGCAGATACAGCACTCATGGTACAAGAGAAGTCATACAGTCGGCAAGGCTGTTATATGGCAGATATAGCACTCATAGTACAAGAGAAGTCATTCAGTCGGCAAGGCTGTTATATGGCAGATATAGCACTCATAGTACAAGAGAAGTCATTCAGTTGGCAAGGCTGTTATATCGGCAGGAATATAACACTCATAGTACACGAGGTCGATACAGTCGGCAAGCCTGGTGTTATATGGCAGATACAGCACTCATGGTACAAGAGAAGTCATACAGTCGGCAAGGCTGTTATATGGCAGATACAGCACTCATAGTACAAGAGAAGTCATATAGTGGGCAAGACTGAGTAATACTGGATATACAGCACTCAAAGTACAAGAATAATTTCAGTAAGATTTTTCTTTTTCTGTGTCCATCTGAAGATGTAAAAACACTGTGCCTGTTTAAAACACAGCTGTGATATTTGCGCCTTTCCACAGACACATCCGACTTCTGCAGGCATTTGCTGTCTGTGTAAGACTTCTCGGTTAGATTCATGGGAGGGACATTGCACTGCAGTCAGATTAAGCTATTTAGGAGTTAGCAATCAAAGGACCAGAGAAGTCGCAAAATCAGCAATACTAAGTAATATGGGAGACATGGAACTCAAAGTTCAAGAATAAAGTTGGTAAGACTTAAGACTGAGTTTTATGGAAGATAGCACTTTAAAAATGAAATATATAAAGTCAATAGAATGCAGATGTAAGGTAGATAGTACCTTACTGCAATAAGACAGACTGATAATGTCACTAAACCTGAGTTACAGTGATATACAGAAGATAAGACAGATCTAACAGAAACTTAAATTTTTGGCCAACTGGATGCTACCAGCATCAAATATGAACCCTTTCTAAAACTAATAAGCATAAAACCCTAACAATAGAGAGAATGTCTTAGAAGCTGCCGGAGCAACAAGAAAAGAGAATACTAAATAAATGTGACAAATACAGAAGAGGAAGAAGACATTAAAAATGAAAACATCAGAAGAAGTCTAGGAAATGAAACCTGGCATACAGTTAGTTAGATTACCCTGGTAACAGCTGTCATAGAGAGCCATGCTGAAGAAATATTATGAACAAAAAGCAAGGGGAAGAACATGTGAAAGATGGAAAGATGGCATGAAGTGCAGACTTACAGAAAGTATGACTAACTAATAAAATGTTTTACAAAAAGCACACAGAAAATCCTTACAACTCCCTTCCAACACTTCAATGGGCAACTGCAGCAAGAGAAGAAGAAAACAAGAAGTATAGAAGATATATTATGTAATAAATTTTTAAAATGAAAAAAAAAAAAAAAAGAATGTTTGAAGAAAATCAGGCAAGGAAGCAAGAATGACTATACTTCTAAATCAAAAACTAATTTATAAAAACAAATACAATAGTAACTCAACAAAAAATAAATGCAAATTGTTCTGTAACAGTCTGAACAATCAAAATTTCACAAACACAAAACAAAAAGCAATACCAGTTTGTAACAGAATAAGAGAACTCTAGCAATACTATACAATAACAGAATAAGAGAACTCTAGCAATACTATACAATAACAGAATAAGAGAACTCTAGCAATACTATACAATAACAGAATGAGAGAACTCGGATTACAATATTTTGCTGCGACCAAATTGATGTTAAAAATATTATCATAACAGTATCAGGAACTCACGGCTTTCAATCACACATGAATAAATTCACCTATACATACATTCACAAGCTGTCATACATTCACAAGCTGTCATACATTCACAAGCTGTCATACATTCACATGCTGTCATACATTCACAAGCTGTCATACATTCACAAGCTGTCATACATTCACAAGCTGTCATACATTCACAAGCTGTCATACATTTACAAGCTGTCATACATTCACATGCTGTCATACATTCACAAGCTGTCATACATTCACAAGCTGTCATACATTCACAAGCTGTCATACATTCACAAGCTGTCATACATTCACATGCTGTCAAACATTCACATTCATACATTCACAAGCTGTCATATGTTCACATGCTGTCATACATTCATTTTCCCACACACTGAGGAACTTTACTCATCATATTTATAGCGTTACACTTCCTCATCCATGCACAAGGAAGAATTACACACAGCCACGGTTCTTGAAGCTAATGCAGATTTGACCAGAATTGCATCAAGTTTAAACCACTGTAGCACCACAACCAGCGCGGCCGATCTTCATGCTGTTGATCACTGTCCAGGTATCAGATTCTGGGTCGTACATCTCACAGTCGCGCAGCCGTGAATTGCCATCGAACCCTCCACATACATATATTCTATTATCGAAGACGGCGATACCGAACCAGGCCCGTGGGGTTGTCATCGGGGTTATCGTGGTCCACTGTCTGGTCACCGTGTTGTATCTGCAAGATTATTGGTTTATTCTGTTAGTCTTTTTCTACAAGATCTGGCGGATGAGACAAATAAAATGACATAACAGCTTAACCCAAGCATGAGACAAACAAAATGACATAACAGCTTAACCCAAGCATGAGACAAACAAAATGACGTAACAGCTTAACCCAAGCATGAGACAAACAAAATGACGTAACAGCTTAACCCAAGCATGAGACAAACAAAATGACGTAACAGCTTAAACCAAGCATGAGACAAACAAAATGACGCAACAGCTTAACCCAAGCATGAGACAAACAAAATGACGTAACAGCTTAACCCAAGCATGAGACAAACAAAATGACGTAACAGCTTAACCCAAGCATGAGACAAACAAAATGACGTAACAGCTTAACCCAAGCATGAGACAAACAAAATGACGTAACAGCTTAACCCAAGCATGAGACAAACAAAATGACGTAACAGCTTAACCCAAGCATGAAACAAACAAAATGACGTAACAGCTTAACCCAAGCATGAGACAAACAAAATGACATAACAGCTTAACCCAAGCATGAGACAAACAAAATGACGTAACAGCTTAACCCAAGCATGAGACAAACAAAATGACATAACAGCTTAACCCAAGCATGAGACAAACAAAATGACATAACAGCTTAACCCAAGCATGAGACAAACAAAATGACATAACAGCTTAACCCAAGCATGAGACAAAACTGACGGTGAATCATTCATCATCTTCTCCATGTGGGTTCTGGGGACCCATTTTGCTGGGAGATGACAAACCCACTGCCCCTTGACAAGCAAGGAGTAACTATGGGTTTGAGGGGTTCACTGAAATCAGATAATTTGGGCCGAAAAGTGCAGATACTGCATCCTAGCTGTAAACCACAACACTACTTGCCAACCACCCATTCAAAGGTTAACAAAAAAGAAGGATCAACATGTCAGCACACAGGACACATTCGTAAATGATCCGTCTCCCTCAGCAGATGACAGGAATGATAACTTTTTGTAGCACACTGCTATCAATGCATTTTCATGTGGTCATGCCTGCTACTATTGCACATGATACTAGTGTCTCCTGTTCATCTCTGTGTATATCTGCTTTTGTTTCTTATATATATATATATATAGATATATATATATATATATATATATATATATATACAATATATATATAATATATTTATGTTCAGTGAGAGGTCACAAACAGAGAGCAACAGACATGCAGACTTTATGTCAAGAGGTTACAATGGACATGATCATTTCAACTATTTATCTTTCCCAAAGTAACTGGACATTCTGTGTGTTTTTTGCTGGCACAGTAGTACAGCAACTTTCTGGTTGCCCCTTTGCTATAAAGCTGAAACTAAAATTACCAGATTACCAGTTGTAGGAGAAAGAAGCAAAAGAAACAATACCTCTCCACGAGATCAAAATATTGATCCATGTGCCGACAGCGTCCACCAAAGGCAAATATGAAGTGGTCAAGGGTGACCATGGACAGGCCCGAACAGGCCTTCTCCATTTCTGGGGCAAAAGACCACTCTCCAGCATCTGGGTCGTAAACCTCCATGCTGGCCCTGTCCATGTGAGGGCCCTTGTCGTAGCCACCTGGCAACACACATCAATGTCATAAGTCTACATCTCAGATAGAACAAACTGGGGAAACTAAACCCAAGATTCGATATCACAGCATTCAGGATACGCAGTCCCAATATGGGACACAATTTCGGACAAATTTTCAAGGTCCACTCTGACGGTTGTCGAGGGCCCTAATATATCCCAGCGGTTGAAGAGGGTTTCTAGGACTTGCGCCTGGGTGATTCTCATCTGGATGGAGGCACTTTCTCCTGGAGGGGTTGAACTGGGACTTGCACCTGGGTGATTCTCATCTGAATGGTGGCACTCTGTCCTGGAGGGGTTGAACTGGGACTTGCGCCTAGGTGATTGTCATCTGAATGGTGGCACTTTGTCCTGGAGGGGTTGAACTGGGACTGCGCCTGGGTGATTCTCATCTGAATGGTGGCACTCTGTCCTGGAGGGGTTGAACTGGGACTTGCGCCTGGGTGATTGTCATCTGAATGGTGGCACTCTGTCCTGGAGGGGTTAAACTGGGACTTGCGCCTGGGTGATTGTCATCTGAATGGTGGCACTCTGTCCTGGAGGGGTTGAACTGGGACTTGCGCCTGGGTGATTGTCATCTGAATGGTGGCACTCTGTCCTGGAGGGGTTGAACTGGGACTTGTGCCTGGGTGATTGTCATCTGAATGGTGGCACTCTGTCCTGGAGGGGTTAAACTGGGACTTGTGCCTGGGTGATTGTCATCTGAATGGTGGCACTCTGTCCTGGAGGGGTTGAACTGGGACTTGCGCCTGGGTGATTGTCATCTGAATGGTGGCACTCTGTCCTGGAGGGGTTGAACTTGGTTGATTCATTCAGGAGATGCTGATATGAGTTCTGTCTTCCTTCTCAACAGCCAGTGAAAAGTTTTCACACAGATGGTACCTGTTGTCATCCGGTTTAATCATCTTGCCTTCCCTGACTCTCCAGTGGGGGCACAGAGTCCACAGACGCTCCCCGCTGCAACAATCTTTCCAGGTGAGGCTTTTTCAGCATCTCATTTTACTTGTTACCCGGACTCACAGGTAAAAGATCCCCCCTTCTTTGTGCAGTACACCCCCAAGTGGGGGCCAGTCCAGCCAAACTATCTGCCTAGAATAAAAACTGGCCTCCTCTTTCCAGCTGGTGACTCCAAGTGTTTGTAGGTCTGCCTGTACATGATCTCTCCACCGCCTTCTTGGGTTGACTCGTGGTCTACGACCATTCAACTCTTTTGTATACTGTTTTTGTCTTTCTTTTATCTGCCATTTTCTCTAAATGCCCCACCCAGTGCTGTCTATTACCCCTCATGACGCAACACACCCCTGTAGGCTCTACGACTACATTTTTGGGGGAAAAAAGAACAAACCCACTGCCTCTTACCCACAAGCATGCCATCAAAGGCATCACATTAGGGGTTTGTTGAAATCAGATGCACTGGAGAAAACACACAGATATCATAGCCTAGCTGTAAACCACAAGACCATGTGTCAACCACCCACTGAAGGATAGATGCAGAAGAAGAAGATACAACACACATGTTTATTTTACTTAGGAGTCCCTTACCTGCAACATAAATTTTCCCATCACAGACAGTGACCCCTGCTCCCGCTCGTCTCCGTTTCAAACAACTGACTATAGACCAAGTCTCAGTTTTGGGGTTGTAGCGTTCCACAATGTTGAAGCTTCCACTGCGATCTTCACCACCTGTTTCAGGCAAAGGACAATCATAAGTGGCTTTCCCTGGACACCTGATGTCTACTATAGAAATTATAATGTTAGGACAATCATTAGTGGCTTTCCCTGGACACCTGAGGTCTACTATAGAAATTATAATGTTAGGACAATCATTAGTGGCTTTCCCTGGACACCTGACGTCTACTATAGAAATTATAATGTTAGGACAATCATTAGTGGCTTTCCCTGGACACCTGACGTCTACTATAGAAATTATAATGTTAGGACAATCATTAGTGGCTTTCCCTGGACACCTGAGGTCTACTATAGAAATTATAATGTTAGGACAATCATTAGTGGCTTTCCCTGGACACCTGACGTCTAATATAGAAATTATAATGTTAGGACAATCATTAGTGGCTTTCCCTGGACACCTGACGTCTACTATAGAAATTATAATGTTAGGACAATTATTAGTGGCTTTCCCTGGACACCTGACGTCTACTATAGAAATTATAATGTTAGGACAATCATTAGTGGCTTTCCCTGGACACCTGACGTCTACTATAGAAATTATAATGTAAGGACAATCATTAGTGGCTTTCCCTGGACACCTGACGTCTACTATAGAAATTATAATGTTAGGACAATCATTAGTGGCTTTCCCTGGGCACCTGAGGTCTACTATAGAAATTATAATGTTAGGACAATCATTAGTGGCTTTCCCTGGACACCTGACGTCTACTATAGAAATTATAATGTTAGGACAATCATTAGTGGCTTTCCCTGGACACCTGACGTCTACTATAGAAATTATAATGTTAGGACAATCATTAGTGGCTTTCCCTGGACACCTGAGGTCTACTATAGAAATTATAATGTTAGGACAATCATTAGTGGCTTTCCCTGGATACCTGATGTCTAATATAGAAATTATAATGTTAGGACAATCATTAGTGGCTTTCCCTGGACACCTGACGTCTACTATAGAAATTATAATGTTAGGACAATCATTAGTGGCTTTCCCTGGACACCTGACGTCTACTATAGAAATTATAATGTTAGGACAATCATTAGTGGCTTTCCCTGGACACCTGACGTCTACTATAGAAATTATAATGTTAGGACAATCATTAGTGGCTTTTCCTGGACACCTGACATCTACTATAGAAATTATAATGTTAGGACAATCATTAGTGGCTTTCCCTGGACACCTGACGTTTACTATAGAAATTATAATGTTAGGACAATCATTAGTGGCTTTCCCTGGACACCTGACGTCTACTATAGAAATTATAATGTTAGGACAATCATTAGTGGCTTTTCCTGGACACCTGACGTCTACTATAGAAATTATAATGTTAGGACAATCATTAGTGGCTTTCCCTGGACACCTGACGTCTACTATAGAAATTATAATGTTAGGACAATCATTAGTGGCTTTCCCTGGACACCTGAGGTCTACTATAGAAATTATAATGTTAGGACAATCATTAGTGGCTTTCCCTGGACACCTGACGTCTACTATAGAAATTATAATGTTAAAGATTACAGAAGACACATGAGGGAAGACAGAGACATTAGTCATGTTTGTGTATGGTATATTTATTTGGGAGGTTATAAGCTGAAATTCTATAAATAATGAGGTGAGATATTATAGAAATGATTCCTGTTTTCACTTTTGTTTATCCGATGTAATATGCTTATGCCTGTTTACAGCACAGCTGCGATATTTTTGCTTTTCTGTCGACACATCAGACTTCATTGGGCATTTGTTTATTGGATTAGCCAGCCTTCCCTGCTGTTTTCATGGGACATGACTTTGCCTTATTTGTGTGGTTTATAACTTTATCTACAGGTGTTGCCCCTAGAGACATCAGATTTCAGCAACCCCTTCTACAACATTCTTATAAAGGGGCAGCAGCTATATTATTTCTCCCTCCAAAATTTGGGCTCGGAAACTCAACATCATCATGTAGCAGGTCTTCTGCAGAACGTCACTCTCACCACAGTCTGCCTGAAAGAAACTGGGTCTCTCACCAGCTCTCCTGCCTCGTCTACTTTAAAATTCAAAAGTCACTTATATCCTGTGCCCATCTTCGTGTTGGTCGGCCCCTGCCCCAGTCTGACATGGCACTTGATAATGAGCAAAATAAATTAGCTTCCGAGACAAGATGCTGTTTATTAGCCAATCTTCCTTGATGTTCAGATCATTTAAAATGTTAGTATTTCTTCTCTTCTTTGCCCACGGTATTCTGAGAATTATTCTATAGCGTTTCAACTAAAAAGCTCCTATTTTCTTCCTTAAGGACTAGGCGATAGTCCATGACTCACATCCGTATGTTGCTACAAGGAAGATGGGAGATAGTCTACGACTCACATCCATATGTTGCTACAGGGAAGATAGGATATAGTCCATGACTCACATCCGTATGTTGCTACAGGGAAGATGGGAGATAGTCCACGACTCACATCCGTATGTTGCTACAGGGAAGATGGGAGATAGTCCATGACTCACATCCGTATGTTGCTACAGGGAAGATGGGAGATAGTCCACGACTCACATCCGTATGTTGCTACAGGGAAGATGGGAGATAGTCCATGACTCACATCCGTATGTTGCTACATCGAAGATGGGAGATAGTCCATGACTCACATCCGTATGTTGCTACATCGAAGATGGGAGATAGTCCAGGACTCACATCCGTATGTTGCTACAGGGAAGATGGGAGATAGTCCACAACTCACATTCGTATGTTGCTACAGGGAAGATAGGATATAGTCCATGACTCACATCCGTATGTTGCTACTGGGAAGATGGGAGATAGTCCAGGACTCACATCCGTATGTTGCTACAGGGAAGATGGGAGATAGTCCACAACTCACATCCGTATGTTGCTACAGGGAAGATGGGAGATAGTCCACGACTCACATCTGTATGTTGCTACAGGGAAGATGGGAGATGGTCCACGACTCACATCCGTATGTTGCTACAGGGAAGATGGGAGATAGTCCAGGACTCACATCCGTATGTTCCTACAGAGAAGATGGGAGATAGTCCAGGACTCACATCCGTATGTTGCTACAGGGAAGATGGGAGATAGTCCACGACTCACATCCGTATGTTGCTACAGGGAAGATGGGAGATAGTCCATGACTCACATCCGTATGTTGCTACATCGAAGATGGGAGATAGTCCATGACTCACATCCGTATGTTGCTACAGGGAAGATGGGAGATAGTCTACGACTCACATCCATATGTTGCTACAGGGAAGATGGGAGATAATCCACGACTCACATCCGTATGTTGCTACAGGGAAGATGGGAGATAGTCCATGACTCACATCCGTATGTTGCTACAGGGAAGATGGGAGATAGTCCATGACTCACATCCATATGTTGCTACAGGGAAGATGGGAGATAGTCCATGACTCACATACGTATGTTGCTACAGAGAAGATGGGAGATAGTCCATGACTCACATCCATATGTTGCTACAGGGAAGATGGGAGATAGTCCATGACTCACATCCGTATGTTGCTACAAGGAAGATGGGAGATAGTCCATGACTCACATCCGTATGTTGCTACAGGGAAGATGCATGATCTCAAAATTTTAATTTTGACTTCCCTGCTGGTGCTTAATCGAAAACTACACAGGAGAAAATCATGAAGTGAAAGATTACAGAAGTGAATTCAGTTGATTTAAGAACTAACATCACAGCTCTTGGGGCATTCTCATAAGCACTCTGTCCCCATCTTCAGCAGCCAGCGCAGAGTTCAAATGCCAATGGTGCCAGTAGTAGTCTGATTATACGTCCGTCTTGCCTATTTTCTGAGCATTCAGTATCGGCCAGATCCCCTCGGTACTCCTTGCTGCATCACCCTAACCAGACTGATCATTCACATGTTCCTTCAAATTGCACTAGTGTTTCCACAAGGCATTAACCATGTCTGACTCATCATGCGTCAATATTCCACCAAGTTGTGCAGAGCCAGCCAAAATCTCTACCTGTTCATTTCTCAACATACTGGTATGATACAAAGAAAATATCCAGACAATGCTCTTCACCCGTAAAAATTACAGAAATAATGAAGTGACATTTAAAAAAAATTAATAAGAAGTATACAACAGGATAAAATAAAGCAACAGTTGAAAAAAAAAAAGACAAACCAATTGCAAATAAATGTCCGCCTACAGCTGCCACGGCAACAAAAGATCGTGCGAGTTTCATATGCGGCTTGTGTTCCCATTTTTTGCGAATGGGATCGTACATCTCAACACAGTGAAGATAAAGTGTGTCGTCCTGAGTGTCCGCCAGCGCACACTCTCCACCGACTGCATACAGGACTCCATCAAGGCTGGCAGCACCGACAGCTGTACGAGCGATGTTCATGGGAGGCTGCGGCGATAGAGAAAGAAGATCAATACTTCAAAAGTCTACATAATCATTGAGACACTGGAAAACAAACACAGGTTATAACAATGAAAAAGATATCCCTAATCACATGAACAGAACAATTCACACTGGACACTGCAGACTCAACAAACACTCATATGATTTAGGTATGAGCCAAAAAGCTCTCTGTCTGTGTCTTCGGGCTGAACAGATTACAGAACATGTCTTGCAAGACTGTCCAGTCCTGGCGGAGCTGCTAATCAGCATGTGGCTACACCTAGTAGACCTGACAATTAATTTAGTTAGTTAGTTGGGTTATCATCATTGCACTCCAGACATGCCCATAGGTGCTCAGATCCTCCCCTCAGTATGAATCCCAACGTCCGATGGCTAATAGTACCAGTTCTATGTTGATTAACAAGTCTTCTGACGTGTCCGGTGTGCGTCTCGTTTTTTGCTGTGCCGATCTTAATTCCCAAGTCTGCCATTCTGGCGAGTGATGTGGATTCACTGCCACCAAAGTCCTCTATCCTTCCCATTTCTCTGAGGGCATTGATAATATCATCATGATCCATAGGCCAACCGTCGGTAGTGATAGCGGATCCAGCCAACCTGTCAGCTCTTTCATTTCCATCAACGCCTGCGTGTCCCGGAACAAAAATAAAGGTGACTCCACGCACAGTGGACTTCTGAATTGATTCAAGCCATTGTCTTCGCACTGAACCTGCCTGAACCCTCCGGATCATACTCATTGAATCACTGAGTACCTGACAACTAAGCTTTGTGGAAAGCTAAGAGACCTTGAGATGACATCCCAGTTTATGGCCCAAAGTGCACTAAGCACACGACCAGAGATTGCTGAAGAAGAATGATTTCTCGACTACTTTACAGGTAATAAATTGCCCTGTGGGGGGTCCGGGACTCCATATTAGAATCATAAACAGATCCCCTGTAAGCATGTCCTAAAATGAGGCCAATAATGGTAAGCTGAAATCAAATGTGTGAGGCTGAAAGGCGCAGATATCACAGCCTAGCTGTAAACTCCAACATAGAGTTTTAAGTGCAGATGCAGAAGAAGAACGTAACGAATTATATCATCTTGCCATTTACTGTACAGCTTAGGGAGAGAGCTAAACAAATTCTAGTGAATCAAGAGGTGAGAAAAAGATGCTGAGATAGAAGGCTGGGTTTCACTGAAGTATACAACAGAAGAAGAGGAGAAGAGGCAATAACTGCTGTTCAAAAAAGTCTTCTCTATAATATGTCCATATATCTAACACTAACACTTTCATACTTCTTCTTCTTTACGTTTGGTTTGGTATGCTCAAATCAGACCACCAGGTGGGATGCCTCTATGAACTCAGTAGCAGGTCCTTCATGGTTCCCCATAGCTTGCTCTGCACACTTTGCTCTTGAGGCCAGGTTTCTTTTCGAAGCTGTAAGTAGAGTGGACAGGTCTGCAGAATGTGCTCAGGTGTTTGTGGTCCTGTCTGACAGGCACACTGTGGGGACTGTAAAATCTTTATTTTATGCAAGTGGTAGTTGAGCCTGCAGTGTCCTGTTCGTAGACGGGAAAATTGTTGTATGTTGCTGATGGGGTCTTGTGGATATTTACTGTTAGTTTGTTCTCTCTACAGTTCTCTTGTATTTTCCTTGATCACATTCATACAATGGACAGCCTTCCTTCCCTCTCACTCTTTCGCACAGAGAAGCCACAAAACCAACAAACCTGATTGGTACAACTTCCACGTAACAGGCTCTCAACCTTCCTAATGCTGCAACCCTTTAATACAGTTCCCTCATGTTGTGGCGACCCCCAAAAAATTATTTTCCTGTATAACTTCAATAAATATGTGTTTTCCGATGGCCTTAGGCGACCCCTGTGAAAGGGTCATTCAAACCAAAATAAGAGTCGCGACCGGCAGGTTGAGAACCGCTGCTGTAGAGAGATGTTTACGAGATAACTAACTATAGAAATTCACCCCCCCCTCCTTTCCCCCCACAGTATAGTATTTGTTCATGTAGTGGATGACAATAGGATTATGTGTGATTTCTGTATTGACAGGGGTAACATATTTTTTAAAGAAATTTTTTTTTTCTGTTTCTTTCTTTCTGGGAAATTCTAAAATATGGAAAGTATTGGAGCTTGGCTTTTTTTTTGGTCCTAGTCCCTGGGGTGCAAGGTTAAACTTACTGACATCTCATACATAGGCAGACACACATATCTCACATACAAATCTCTCACTTAACAAAGCTGAATATATCTCGCCCACAAAAAAAAAATTATACATGTGATATCACACGTATCCGTGTCTGTTCCAGGGCTCCACACATATCCGTTTCCGTTCCAGGGCTCCACATGTATCTGTGTCTGTTCCAGGGCTCCACATGTATCCGTGTCTGTTCCAGGGCTCCACACATATCCGTTTCCGTTCCAGGGCTCCACATGTATCCATGTCCGTTCCAGGGCTCCACACATATCCGTGTCCGTTCCAGGGCTCCACACATATCCGTGTCTGTTCCAGGGCTCCACACATATCCGTTTCCGTTCCAGGGCTCCACACGTATCTGTTTCCATTCCAGGACTCCACACGTATCCGTGTCAGTTCCAAGGCTCCACACGTATTCGTGTCCGTTCCAGGGCTCCACACACATCTGTGTTCGTTCCAGGGCTCCACACATATCCGGGTCAGTTCCAGGGCTCCACATGTATCCATGTCCGTTCCAGGGCTCCACACATATCCGTGTCAGTTCCAGGGCTCCACACATATCCGTGTTCGTTCCAGGGCTCCACACATATCCGGGTCAGTTCCAGGGCTCCACATGTATCCATGTCCGTTCCAGGGCTCCTTTAAGGGGAAAAAGAAAACAGACCCACTGCCTCCTAACAAGCATGTCATAAAAGATGACTTTTTGGTGAAATCTAATGTTTTGGGTTGAAAGGCATAGATATCACAACCTAGCTGTGACCCACAAAACAATGTCCCAACCATGTTTTTAAGGGTGCAGGTAGAAAAAACAGAAGTCTCACACACAAAAACGGACTCATTTACCATCTGCAACCACTGATCCAGCAAGAAGTCATACTTCTCTGTGCTCTTGAGCTGGCTGTCGGTGCTGTTTCTGCCTCCCATGACATAAATACAAGGAGGCTGGGCGCGAGGGACCACACTGTCCAGCTCCCGGCTGTCCATCTTCATCCGGATGGCTTTGCTGATGAGCAGCTGACATTTAGGGCAGGTGCGGAAGTACTCGGACTTCAGCACCACATTTTCCAGGTACTTGCAGTCTAGCAGAGCCAAACGAATATTCTGAAGTATAACACTGGCTCTGTCAAGCCGCTTGCCAGGATCATACTGTAGCCACGAACATGCAGCTTCAAACACTTGTGATTCGCTCATAACCTGCATAAAGATTGTAGTTATTACTTTACAGTACATAATTAAAAAAACTCACTGTTATAAAATACCCAGCCTGCAATGACAAATTGCCTAACCTGCAATTATAAATTACAAAACATACGACTATAAATTACACAAACTGCGGCTATAAATGACACACAGGCAACTATAAATTAAATCACATGCAACTAAAAATTACATAACCGGCAAATGTAAATATATACATAAACATATTTTTTTTATAATTATTGAGGTTTCCTGCACTCCAGCAGGGGGAACAAAAGAAAAGACCCACTGCCTACCCAAAAGCATGTCATACTAATGTCGACTAACTGGGAGCTTCATTCGAAGTCAGAGTGCATCTGCCTGAGAGGTAAGGAACCAACAGCTCCATACAAATGAGTCAGATCTGTAAAATGGATGTCCACACAGCACTTTCTGCTGGATTTTACTACAGTGAATGCGAAGAAGAAGATTTATAATTACATAAGCTGTGATTACATACTGCATTACTTGTGACACATTTTTAAAAATTAAAATAAATTACATTGTCTGCAACTATAAAGTGCATACCCAGCAGTAATGTAAACTATACAACCCGCTTTATAAACAAACTGGCATACTAGCATACAACAAAACATTCACATTACGCAACTGACAAACTGGCATATTTCAGCGAGCCTGATGTGAATGTCAAACTAGAATTGCTCACCTGTAACTTATCACTTTTGAGCAAACTGATCAGCCGTTCCTCCGGCAGCTCAAAGAACTCCTCCATCCGGATGACATCCAGAAAGTTCTGATAAATAAACTGTCTGGCAACTGCTTCCAGCTCCGTGCAGGAGTAAACATCAGCGAAGTAATGGATGCCTGAAGAACACGCCAGGATGGTCAGGAAATGGCTGTGTATTCATAACTTGTTCACTACTTAACCATCTTTGGTTATGAATCAGTCTAGTAGTCAGTTGAAATGCCCAAACAGTATAACATAGGAAACACATAATAGCATGACAGAGCACAGTATAGTATTAGATACTACAGCATATAATACAATATAGTGCAAAACAGTATAGTACAATATATACTAATAAAAACCCACATAATATAATAACTATATATTTTTTAAACTGTACAGTATAGTATAATAAAGGATGGTACAGTATAGTGCAAGACAGCCTAACATAATACACATATTTCCAGCACAATTAATACAGTATAGCATACTTTCAAGCACTGCACAGTGTTGTATAGAATAATACAGTGCAGAATAGTATAGCAGAGTTCCTCAACCTGTTTACATCCACAGCTCACCAAAACAGGGGAGACTGTTTCATGGTCCACCAAAACAGGGGAGATTGTTTCATGGTCCACCAAAATAGGGGAGATTGTTTCATGGTCCACCAAAATAGGGGAGACTGTTTCATGGTACGCCAAAACAGGGAAGATTGTTTCATGGTCCACCAAAATAGGGGAGACTGTTTCATGGTCCGCCAAAATAGGGGAGACTGTTTCATGGTCCGCCAAAACAGGGAAGATTGTTTCATGGTCCACCAAAATAGGGGAGACTGTTTTGTGGCCACCAAAACAGGGGAGATTGTTTCATGGTCCACCAAAACAGGGGAGACTGTTTTTGGCCCATCAAAACAGGGGAGATTGTTTCCTGGTCCACCAAAACAGGGGAGATTGTTTCATGGTCCACCAAAATAGGGGAGACTGTTTCCTGGTCCACCAAAACAGGGGAGATTGCTTTGTGGCCCACAATAACAGGGAAGACTGTTCTGCGGCCCACCAAAACAGGAGAGATTGTTCGGGTACCCCCCAAAGTAGCCAAATGCAGCGAAAAAAAACATACATAGCAGTTGATTTGCTAAATCCTATGTCACAAAATTACAATTTTCAGCAAATGCAACATCTGCTGCTACTTACAGATTAGACTATGCCCCAAAATAATCTGTTTTATGCGGCTGAACCAAATTAGAATTTGTTCCTGTTTGATTCTCATATTTGAGGTGTTAATTGTACAGGCCGCAACCCTGTAAGAGAAAAACTACCTCCCCTTCCTGTTTCATAATTAGGCAGAAATTGTTAACAACCCATCTGGGATTTTCCGCAGCTCACCTGGACTTTTCCACAGCCCATCTGGAATTTTCTGCAGCCCATGTTAGGACACTGAAGGGCTGAAGAACTGACATAACATAATATAGGATAGTACATAGGCAGTTTCGTACAGCACAGTACAATAAAGTACACCATAGAACAGGCAAGGATCCAGAACTCTATGTGCTGACTGTGTGTGCATAACATAACCTGTAAAAGTGTATTGATGGAAGCACTAGCACATAAAACCTGCCATCTTTCTCTGTTTTCTGCTTGATGAATCAGTGTATGATAACTTAGTCATGTCCATTTCTTGATGCTGTCATTCCAGGTATTTTTTTGTCCTGCTTTTCTTCGAATACCCCTTGAAGTACAGTCTTTGGAATCGAATCATGTCTCACCAAGTGCTTAAACCAGTGTGTTAGAACTGTATTTGTAAGTGGTGTGTGTGTGTTGCATGTATAGTGTGAGTATTGGTAACTGTGTGTGCGTAGAATTGTTATCATAATTGATGTAAGTGCATACTGGGCACTCCCCATGCGCACCTATTCCTTCAAGGTGCCTCTAATTATTGTTACCATGAGGATGTGTGTGTCATATTAATGGCCATGAGAGCTGTTGGGTGTGTGTGTGTGTGTGTGAAAAAAAAAAGTACATAAAGGAAATATGAAGACAGAAACTCACTACATAAAAGAATTAATTTAAACGTTACATAATTTGTACTGTTATCATTCTCTTTAACTCTCTCTCTGTATGAAAGAAATGATGTATGAGAGGAGGAAGAAAAGAAGGGCAGAATGTCAGATGGGTCTGTGTGCCCATTTTTTAACCCTTTGGAAATAAAGTTTGTTTGTTTATTTGTTCTCTCTCTCTCTCTCTCTCTCTCTCTCTCTCTCTCTCTCTCTCACACATTTACCTAAACAGTTGGACGCTGTCAGCTGATTCTGCAGGAAGTGTGAACACATAGTACGCAAAGCTTGTAATCCCAGCATGCTTGCTCCCTGCAGCACAGCCTGCACATTGTCCACCGTGACCTCAATGGTGCAGGTGTACATGAAGTCCAGCAGCAGCTCCATGGTTGAGGGTTCGATCCCATGCAGCTCCACAAACTCTTGTTCTGACTCTAGCATTCCATTGGTGAACATGGCCCGAAGGTAGGGACTGCACCCAGCTAATACAACCTGTAAGACAACAGTACTTTCACAGATTACACAGTAAAAAAGTAATAATAACGTCTTTCTTGTTTTGTCGTCTCATTGATACCAGGTTCTAGTCCAGTGCTGTGGTTTTCTGTGTATGTCTTGCACTTCTAAGGTGTGCTTGGGTGATGAATTTGTTCATCTATTTTACAGCTTTCGGCCACATTTCTTGGTCTTCCCCTCGCCTTCCTCCAAGATGTTCTTCTGTAGGTAATCTCATATGCAGTTTGGCCTGGCTGCATTCTCACTAGGTGGCAGAACCATTTCATTCTTTATCTGTCAATATAATTCAGACATGGTCTTATTCCAACTTTCTCTCTAATGCTAGTATCTGTAACCCTGCACCTTCTAACAACAATGATAATAATAATAACAACAGTAACAACAATAATAATACAACCATGATAATAACAATAATTAAATAATCATTAAAAAAATAACCATAACAATGATAACAATAGCAATGATAATAATAATCATAAATAAATAAAAGTATAGGACACCTTTAACCTCACGGGAAACTCTCTTTTCATTCGCAGTCTCTACAAAGCCTCAGTATTTGATTGTGTTTCCATGAAATACAACCTATACTTCTGTGTATCCCCATTTCCAGAAGAGCATGTTCTATCTGCTTGTTCACTGTCAAAGTGTCTGCATCATACAGCACCAGGGTTGGGTACATATAACATTTGCCGATTCTCATTTTAAACATGTTGTTTATCGATACCCCCGTGTGGGTTCCGGGGCCCCATTGTGGGGAAAACAAGAATAGACCCACTGCCCCCACAAAAGCATGTCGTAAGAGTCGACTAATTGGGGAGCTTCCTTTTGATTTCTGTTTTACTTCTTCCATCATCGCAACACTAATAGTTGACAAAAATATTATGGGTGCGATATATGTATATTTATATGGATGCATGAAAAGGTACTTTACTTTTTCTAATCAAAATTTTTTGGCAACAGGGTTTGAATTCTGCAGCAAAAATCTCTAGATTTTTAAAAACATGATTTTACTGATACCCTGTGATGGCAAAAAGGAAGAGAAAACTGCTTACAAAATAGTCACACATAAAATACAATCTTCCTGTAAACTTCTTTTTCTTTTTCTTTTGTTCACATGAAATAGATTATCTATATCTGCATTGTTGACTCTAGTATGAACTTCACTGTCTTTTGTAATACACTCAGCAACCCGTAAAGTTTGACTTGCACCAATGTTTCTCGTTGCCAAAAGTTTTGCCTTAAAATGTTGTATTTGGGACAGTCTTGGCGGGCGTTATCTATTGTCTCAGGTGCCAATCCACATGTGCACATGGCTGATTCGCTGATTAAAAATGTTGTGTACATGTGGCTGCGAAGTCGAGTGTGTCCTGTTCAAAGGTGTAGAATAATAACTTGCTCTGGTCTGTCCACTGTTTATCAGCTCTTTCTTCTTCTTCTTCTTCTTGTTCACCGGCTGTGAATTCCAGCGGTAAGTCACGGTTGTTCGTCCAAAATGGACTTTTGGCTTTTACCTTGACCTGAGTTTTGCGTGTACATCCGTTTTACTGGCTTATTTGTTTGCAGTACTCGTTCCCCGCCTCTCCGGCAGATGTACTCCGACTTCGGAGGAAGACGTCAAGCCTATTTCTAGGTTGACTGTGGCCATTGTTTTGTGTGGGTCGAGATGTTGCCTTATTTGTGTGGTGTCCTCTTTGACTTTTAACAAGTGTGGCCCCCGGCATGTCGTCCTTAAGGCAGCTCTATGTAGAGTTTTCAGCCCTCAAGGGAAGGCAGGGGCAGATCATGGGCATTCCCCGCCATCCAAGGAGGCTTCCATAAATGCAGAGCCGACACATGATGCTCTGGGTCTGGGCTCACCCAAGGAATCGTCACGTCCTGCCCATGACTGCTTAACCTCACAACCGTGTATTGAGCTTATCAGCTCTTTCATTTCCAGGAACTCCAGAGTGGGATGGTATCCATTGCATAGTTACCTTACACCAGCTGCCTAGTTTGGAGAGTAACGTTGTTATACCAGGTAGTTTTCCAGATTGGAGCGCCTGAAGCACCCCTCTTGCATCTGTCAGAAATACACGGGTTGTGAGTTTCTCTGCTGCTAGTTTCTCTCTTGTAAACTAAGTCAAAGGCCCTTTTTCCACACCACTATGCTGGCCATATGCAGCTAGACATATTTTATAAACCAATCAGTACGTGAGGTAATCAACATCACGCCGGCTGCCTTTACTTCCCAGTACTTTACCTGGCACCCATTTAAGACCTGAACCCACAACCTCTGGATCCGAAGGTGAGCATTGAGCCATTAAACCATGATAGGCTTAGCAAAACATAAATCGGCTATCCTCCGAATAACGGTCGGTAAAGACGGCGGCCGCAAAATATCCTTTTCGAGCCACAGTCACGTGTCAATTGCGCACTTCCGGTGACTTATTTTGTGGTTCTCCGATGACTACCGCCACTGCCACGAGTCCCCCACGCCGCGTGGATTGGGGCTAAACTAGATGGCTAGGACCCACGAGCAGCAGCTTCTCCGCATCTCCTGCAGCTTTGCTCGAGAGTCCTAGCCATCTTGTTTAGCCCCAATCCACGCCGCATGAGCGGCGCGGGGGACTCGTGGCGGTAGTTGCCGGAAAACGGCTGGAGAACCGCAAATTAGGTCACGTGACTGTGGCTCAAAAGGATATTTTGCCGCCGCCATTTTTACCAACCGTTGTTCGGAGGATAAATCATAAAAAATTACTCACACGATGGGCGGAAAATTTGGCTCCTCCGACGCAGAGAACAATGTCACACAGCTGCTGGTTGATGCGAAGCTCCTGCATGACACCAAAAGCGGTGTTCGCCTGTGACTGGATATGGAACACCCTGGATTCTATCATATTCCTGCGAAGGCAAAAATACCTGAGATTAGAGATTAACATTTCAATGTTTGATACTAGTTTAAACTGGAGGGTAGACAAAGAGTTCTTGCATACTAGACAGAGTCAATTTTAACATATGGCTGCGAATCCTGATTATTTAATAAGCAACCCAAACTATTTCTTGAGGCCTCAGAAATGCGGTTTTACAGAAGAATTCTTAGAATTCCTTAGCCAGCTAATAAGAACAATGCAGATGTTCTGAAAGAGGCTAAGGCTTGGAGAAAACTTTTCACAAATATCATAAAGAGTCAGTCATCATTCTCAGGTCATGTTTTGAGAAGAAGGAAACCAGAACATGTGACCACTGGAAAGATCTGTGGACAGAGAGACAGAGGAAGACAGCGTGAGAAGATTCTTGACAGCCTAAAGTCATGGCATGGAGGGGTGTCAACATACGATCAGATAAACACTGCTGAAGATCACAGATTGAATAGAGGCACGATCGCCCACACAATCTAATAAGGCACTTGATAATGATCACAAATAAAAAAAAAAAAACTGTATATGTTTAGAGTTTAAAAAAGATCAAGTGTGTGTGTGTGTTAAATTGAATAATAAAACGCTGCAGGCTGGATCTTTCTAATCATTAAATGGTGAATATTAAATTGTCCCCAAGTGTGTTCAAAAGCCCGATTGTGGGGAAAGTAGCAGTAGGTCTACTGCCTCCCCAAACAGCATGGCCTTAGAATCGACCGACTGAGGCTTTTTCAAAGTCAGCGTGCATCTGCCTGAGTGTCAAGAAACAAACTGTGTGCAAATAAGTCAGATCTGTAGTACAGATGTGCATACAACACTCAGTAGCTGGAACAATACCAAAGTCCAGAGGTGGTTCGAACAGCCAGAACTTTCCATCAGAGTTTACAGCTCATAAACATGAAGAAGAAGAAAAAGAAGGAGTACCCTACTTACGTCTAGAGTTATGTTACTTTAAACCTCATGTTGCAGATTAGAAATGTGAAAACAGTTGATGGTTCCTACCCCAGATTATGTCACAGGACAGTCCAACATTTTCAACGGTGGTAAGACTGGATTTCCCGGCTTTCTGATGCTTTTAACGACCCCAAAATATGTACAACTGGCCCTAACCCCTACGTCCCACGAGAGATTGCAGCCTAGGTTCCATGACTGTATGCAGCCTAGATCCCACGACTGCATGCAGCCTATCTACCACCCCCTGAAATATTAGACTGTCCTGTGACCTGTGGATTTCCCCTGTTTGGGGTAGGGTAGATATTAAGAAAGCACCCAGTTGACAACACACAAAGATTACAAGATTACACAAAAATAAACACATTTACAAATGGTTAGGATTAGTAAGTTTAGGGACTGAGCTAGACTAGAAGGTGAACGTTAGAAGGAAAAGACAAATCCAAAGTGGTCTCTAGTTTCAGTTTTGGTTGACTTGAGCTTTAAGTCAACCTCAGAGTCAAAAGGAGGGAGGGGAAACTAACTAACTCAGCTGAGAATGAGCTAAAGAAGTAGTCACTGAAAACAACTGGGCTAGAAGTAGAACATGTAAAAACGAAGTGACAAACAAATTTTTAGCTGTCCAACCACGATTAAATCTCTTTTCGCCAAAGATATTCTCACAGTGTAAAAACAGAAGAAAGAGCCAGAACATCAAGCAAGCACTCACTTAGGATTAGTCGACATTAGGTTGTTCTTTTAGATTTGTTTATATGCAGACCATGTCATAACTTTCCGTTTCTGGAAGTCATCGATGCAGAAGAAAAAATACAACAGCCATCAAATAAATCCATTTAATTTCCGTAGATTAAGTGCATTGTTCTGACACTTAGTCTGCCATATTCAAACTGCACTAGAAAGCAAATTTACAGCCAGTAAAAGTATTTATGAGAGGAAAGTCGATGTAGTCACGAATTCTACAGACAACAACTTGTTCAGGGGAGACCATTCTCATGTTTGTTGTGGCAGACGTGAAAGCATGGCGGCGTACACAGGCATGTATTGTTATCTCTGTTCTTCTCGGGCTATTCCGTGTTAACTTTCTGCTGCCGGCAACTAAACCTGATGTTTTAATTTTCACTATACCAAACATATTTGTAAACCCTCTGCTACGGGTTACCTTTATTTATTGTTATTGTTTCATCTTTAAGTACGAGCCCACCCCGGCTAACGTCTGGAGGAGCCATCAATTATGATCAATTATCAACTTAACGGTTGAACTGGGTCTTGTGCCTGGGAGTCTCATCCGAATGGTGACACTATGTGTCACCGGGTGTTAATCGCTCGTTATGTGGGGCTGAACTTCACTCAGCTGTAAGTTACAAAGTAACTCGTAGCTTACTCTAACTTTTTGTAACTTGTTGCTGTCCTATAACTGTGACTTACTTTCTGTGGGTTTTAACTATTTTTCATTTTCATTTTGTTGAACAATTCGAAGTGACAACTAATTACTAATTCATTTCATATATACTTAGTACTATTATGCTATTAAACTATACCAGTCGGATGACAGGTTACTTCATAACCCTCTGGTGCTGACCTGAATATAACTTATTTATGTTTACAGCGGAATGGTTTCAGTTTCTGGTTGGATTCTCACCTTAGACTATCCTCCGAAAAACGGTCCCAAATTATCAAGCCTTAAAAAATATACCCTAACAGGGCCTCAGTCAAATGTAAATTGCGGACTTTCAGTGAGCGGTGCAGAATGAAGGAAGCTGCAGGAGATGCGGTAGCTGCTGCTTGTGAGTCCCAGCCATCTAGTTTAGCCCCGCTCTGCGGCACGGACGTAACTCTCGAAGGTGGCGGTAGTCGCCGGAAGTCCGCAATTTACATGTGACTGAGGCCTTGTAAGGGTATATTTTCGACCTCGATAATTTGGGACCGTTATTCGGAGGATAGCCCAAAAGTTTATTAAAACAGAAAACAACTTTGGAACCAACAGTAAGTAGGTACTGTCTATGACTAGCTGCAACCAACTGCAAGAGTTTCTAGTGACAAGCTGTTATAATCCTGAGAGATAAAAGAGTGCTGTTTGAGAAGATAACTTTGTTATAGCTTGAAAGGGTGTCACATTTATCAAAAAATCTCTTGACAAACAAATCTAGTTATTAAAAAAAAAAAATTCTTAGGCTTGTTTCTGAGACTGAAGGATAAAAATATACCTGTCCCTGACAAACTGAAGCTAAAACTGTTGTTTTTGATTTCTTAGGCTTGTTTCTGAGACTGAAGGATAAAAATACATCAGTCCCCGACAAACTGAAGCTAGCCAAGTTTGCCTGGGTCACTGAGTCCGTCCACATTCCTAGCAAGTATCAGCAAATTCTGGACTTTATCTGTGGACTTTTGGTCAACAGAAAGAAGTAAGTGCATCTTGACTCATTCCTTTGGTAGCTACAGTTTCCCCTGTTTTGTCTTATGCCCCAGGCATATTGTAAAAGTGATGAATTGGAGGTTTGCTTAAATTGGATCACTTCATCGCCTCTCTAGAGAGGGACAGTGCATTATATTCAGACTAAGGACAGGGCACAACAGATTTCGTCAACATACGTTCACATTTTTCGGTGTTGGAAATACGGAGACGTGTCCCGAAAATGCTGAGCATGTGCTCCAACACTGTCAACTGTATGCTGACAACAGAGACGCAATCTGGCCTGTTCCAACCACACTGAAGACAAAACTGTATGGTACACGAGAGGATATGGATTGCACGATAGCTTTCATAAAGGCTACCGGGCCTCCTGATATAAGTTTTCTGACAGAAGGATCGAAGAAGAAGAAGCTGACTAGATGCGATGCACAATATGGCCAATGACCCTTTTAAGGGCAAACATGCAAGAAGTCTGCTATAGATTATATAATTGTATACTTTTGTACCCTTGCAGTCCATCTTTACATTGAAGGTTAGGTTCAGCGGATCTCAATTCTTTTACTCTCACAAGCTTGTGTTTGTCTTATCTTATAATGTATCAAATTGTGTAATTGTTCTCTTATTTTATCAGTCAGCTTTAATTTTATTTCCATATATTTAAATAGCATATACATTTAAGTTTTCTGAGATTAGCTTGGTTATTTGAAAACGGTAGGGGCCTCACTGCTTTATTTATTTAGCTTAGAGTGTCATCAAGTCTAAACCCAGGCCTGATCTTGCTCATGGTGATTGTTTGTGTGTGTGTGCACTGTTTATTTGTTTTTGTTCCCCAGACATAACATAACAAGTGAGGATACAGTGTTAATATGGCAGACTTTGGACAAGTTTCTAGGTCTGGCCGGGGCAACTGCTGTTGTCAAGTCTTCAATATTGCAGGTTAGTTTCTTACTGTGATTGTAGTAAAGGTGAAGGGACACTGTTCAAAGGACGAGAACCTCGCCTGTAATGTCACAACATCCAGAGGGGGAATTGAGGTGGAGACAATTACAGCTTTTCAATAGCTGGAGTTTATTTCAGCCTGGCAATTTTTTAATTGTAACCAACTTGCAGAGCAGGCTTAGGAAAATGAAAACTAGTGCCTGACACATATAGTGGCTTGCATCGCTTGATAAAATAAGGATCAGGTGCACATAACCGATTTTTGTCCAGGATATTTATGTATGTGGGGTAATGCACGGGCTAATAGAGTGGCTGCTGCTGTTCTTCTGGGCTGCGAGCTACATTATGATAAAGCAGGCATGGTAAAGGCTCTCTGGTATCAAGTAGACAGTTCAGCAGAATAGATTATCCATAACTCCAAAGATTGATTCAGCCCGGAGTGGGCAGAGAGTCTTGGCGGTTTTCTAGGTGAAGGAGGAAAACACTTGTAATCAGGCCACAACAGGCAATATCAGTATGGGATCCCTTTGTGGGCTACTGTGGAAGGGAAATGTCTCATGTGCAGTGTGTTAGTTCTTGATTGACTGATTGATTCATTGTAGACATACTTTTCTAGATGTTTCTGATGAATCTTTATCATACCAGTAAGTGAATGGTCATGGTTCTTCCTGTCACAGATCATGTCC